TAGCCTTCAATGGGTACCAGGTAAAGTCGTGGGAAGTGAAGGCGGCCCGTGTGATGTTGACCACATCACCCACCGAGTGCCGATTGGTCTATAAAACATAGGTCTAGCCCTATATGCCCAATATGCCTGAAGACAAGGAAAAAAGGGTCATCTTTATGCTGACTTACCTTTTTCAAGATGGTGATCACAGTCTGGGGTTTGTCCTCACTTGCATTAAGTGTGTTTACCAAGAATGACGACGCTGTTATTACAACAGGTTTCAGTAGTTTCTTCTGAGCAACAAGAATATTTGCATCCACAGAAAAACGTGAAGTAGCTTCAGAATGCATCAATATTTGTTTGCTGTGCGATGACAAAACATTTTTAGCTTTATCTTCACTGTGTAGCACACAGCTAGTATCAGTTACATAAGTTCCTACGCCAGATAGCAATTGGTTGTGTAAATGTTTTCTTTGGCTCCATAGAACAGTCATCTGTTTATGTTGTTCTGCTTTTTCTGAGTGTGGAACTTTCTTGCATTCTGTGATATTTCTGTTTTGCTGTTCTTTCTGCAGCATTTCTTCATGGGACTTGGCAAGTTCTAAACTTTTAAATTGATAATTTGTTTGAACTTCAGGCCCCAAAAACTCACTACAAATCTTCTCAGCTTTCTTGTGTATTTTATTATACTTAGTATCCACAGCGTCTGATGAAATAAGAGACAAATCGGTAACCGCAGTCCTGTTTTTCTCTTCTGGTTGTACACATTTATGTTGAGCATTCACTCCTTGATGATCTGTGAGACAAGGACTGCAAGCTGAAGAACTTTCTGTGCTCAGATTGTTAGCTATTGGTGGTTTCTTTGCTCTGTTCTTAAGAATAATATCAGTATGATTCATTAATGCACTTGGTGTACATCTTGTTAAATCATCCTTTTGTAAACTTTTCACTGCTTGTGGGCATGCCGTGGCATCTTTGTTTAAACTGTCCAGAGAAATGTCAGAGACTGTTGATGAATCAGAATCTGATTCATAATTTGTAGTTTCATGTTCTTTATGTAGTGATGTAATGAAGTTGTCTGCTTCTTTAGGGTAGTCAGTCTCTTCACTGAATCCACCAGTTTCACAAGGTGTAGCAAGAGTCTGTATATTACATGATCTTTCAGAAGGTAAATGAATATTTTCTAATCTAGCAGAAGATATCTGAACTTTATCTGATCTAGCAGAAGGTATCTGCATATTATCTGACCTAGCAGAAGGTATCTGAACTTTATCTGATCTAGCAGATGGTATCTGAACATTTTCTAATCTAGCAGACGGTATCTGAACATTATCTGATCTAGCAGACGGTATCTGAACATTTTCTAATCTAGCAGAAGGTATCTGAACATTATCTGATCTAGCAGACGGTATCTGAACATTATCTGATCTAGCAAAATGTATCTGAACATTATCTGATTCAACAGAAGATTTCTGAACATTATCTGATCTGGCAGAAGGTATCTGAACATTATCTGATCTAGCAAAAGGTATCTGAACATTTTCGAATCTATCAGAAGTTATGCAAATATTATCCGACCTAGCAGAAGATACCTGAATTGTATCTGATCTAACAGAAGGTATCTGAATATTATCTGTTCCAGCAGATGTTATCTGGACATTTTCTGATCTAGCAGAAGATATCTGAACATTATCAAATACAGAAAATTGTTGGTTGTAAGATCTTACACAGTAAGTTGGAATGTTACCAGATTTAACCCAAGTTAAAATGTCATCAGATCTTGAAGAGTGTGGAACATGATCAGATCCAGCTGAAGCAGTGTGAATGTTCCCAGATCTTGTGGCAGGAGTCTCAATGCCACTTTTGCTGACATGTTTGTGTAAATAGGTTGAGAGACAATCATCTTGTGATTTTAACACTGTACTGTTTCGAGGAATCCTACATTCAAGAACAGTTTCTGCTGGTGCAGGATCTTTTGAACGCTTATCTACTGCATGCAGTAGCATCTGAATATCAACAGATTCCCTATCATGTACTAGTGAATGGGAGTTTTCATAATGAATTTTATTCTCACTGCCATGAATGGCTCTGCTGACTTGAGTTACTCTTCTACCACTGCTAGGTGCAGTATGTTCAGGAGACTTCAAACTTTCTCCCTGAAAACAAACTTTTGCAATCTTCCTGCCAAGTGGATTCTCTTTCTCATTTGGAATGTTGTTTATCAAAGGACATATGTGAGCTTCCCCTTGATTGGACTTTTGAGTGTTTAGAATTAGTGAAGACTCAGTGGCCTGGTCTGGTGGAAACAACACTGCTGTGTGTGAGTCTTTATTCATATTACTCATTCTGCAACTTTTGGTATTATCAAGGTCTAAGTTGCCAGCTTCTAATGTTATTTCAAGGGCTTTGATAATGGTCTGATCATGGGTTTCTTTCTTAGAGTTCATTAACATGATAACAGGCTGCCTCTCAACATTGTTGCAACTGTGAGATTCTTTCAAATGATTGCTTTGATCTTTATTGGTGCTTTCATGACAACCATGTGAATTAAATCTTGACGGTTCTTGTTTAGTAGTTAACTTAACTGGCATAACTTTGTCATGGAATGATGGTAGATACAGTAATGCTTCACTACAAGGGGCCTTAACTAGGTCTTCCCCCATAGTGATGGAGTTATGAGTGTCCTGCCCCTTCACAAGTCCCAGTGAACATGCAAATGCAGGATTTTTTACAGAATCACTGGTGGTATTGGTATATTCACACATCCTGCCTGGCATATCCTCATCCATAAACTGGTGGTTAGTTTGCATTTTAGTTTGAGGATTAAAAAACCTCTGAAGTTTAAAACCTTCATCTTGAAATGAAACAGGCATGACTTTTGACCTTTCTAAGGAATTACGAAGAGGAAGAAGTTTTTTAACAGACTCACTGTTTCGCAAGCTGTCTTGTGATTTGCTAACTGAAACAGCTGGTTTTGTTGAGTTTAAATACCTTTCATTAAATTTATCGGCAGTACTGTTTCTAATTTTTTCACTGTCCTTTTCATTATCAGGTAATGATAAACAACCATTGGAGGAATTGCAACTAAACGACAAAGAAAATCTTGGTTGTTCAACATCAGTGGAGCACAAACAACTCTTCTGATCACTAACTGCTTTAATGCTGGATGTGGAGTCTGTTAATGAGATAATATCACAGAAGCTGCTTTTTTCTGGAAAACTTTCTTGAAGATCACTCAGACTTTTACATTCTCCACTATTACAATTGTTGCTTTCCTCATAATCTTGAGAAGAGAGTGAAATCAGATCAATATGGTCCACATTAGATGTCTTATTTGTAGCTTTTATTTGTCCTTCTTTCATAATGTATTCTATGTCTCTGGAATATTCTGGCGTAAAATTTAAATTGATGACTTGATTCTCAAGTTCTGCAGATGCCTGAGGGGAGGTTATCCAGTCAGATGTTTGTGACAACTGCTTCAAACACTTTGAAACTTCCTAAAAAAAAGTGGGAAATAAATTAACAAATAAATACAATAATATAAATAACAGAAGTTATGTCTTTTATTAATATACAGAGAAAAACTGCGTAATGTTTCTAATCTACATACATTTTTCTGAGTAGGAAAAAAATTGCTGCATATTGTAATAGAACAAAAGATTCCTTGAACATTGGGAACAGTTTTGTTGCTACCCCAGGGAAAAAATAAATAAGAAATCAGTTAAATGGGACCATACTCCATAATGGAAAGGGAATCTAGAACCAGTTATAAGATATCCATTAGAGGAAAGACTCAAGTATATCATATAATCCTTTCTTGTACAATTACTTCTCGTCTCTGCAACTTCCCCGCCATGTGGTGGTGTTCAAGGCTCCATCTTGTAGGGGAAAGAACAGACCCATTGCCTCGTAACAAGCATGTCAAACAAGGCTACTAATTAGGGTTGTTAACTTTAAAGTCAGAGTGCCTCTGCCTGAGAGGCAAGGAACCAACAGCTTGTATAAAAATAAAGCACACCTTTAAAACAGATGTGCATGCAAAACTCACATTCTGGAGCAAAATCTAGAAGTGCATGCAAAACTCACATTCTGGAGCAAAATCTAGAAGTGCATGCAAAACTCACATTCTGGAGAAAAATCTAGAAGTGCATGCAAAACTCACGTTCTGGAGCAAAATCAATATCCAGTGGTAAACAAACAACCAGAATTTTCTGCCAGAGTTTACAGCTGGTGAACGCTTAGAGTTAAGACCGGAAAAATAAACTGACAGAGTCCTTTTGATTTTTGAAAGTCAAGTTGATATCATAAATTTCCCATAGTGATAGAGGTCATGACCTGAGTCACACACAAATAATATTTAACCCCCCCCCCCCCCCCCCACCCCCCAAATGTAGACATACTATCTACATCTTCTTGGCATTCGGTTTCAAATGCTAATACCAGACCTTCAGGTGAGCTGCATCTATGAAGTTTCATTTCAGTTAACAGGTCCTCCATTGTAACCCAAAGCTTGCTCTTCCCACCCTGCTCATGGGGTGCAAATATAGTTGGCAGGCCTGCAGAATTCGCTCAGATGTTTGTGGTCCCGTCTGACACACACTGTAGTGGCTAAAGTCTTAATTTTAAGCATGTAGTAGCTGAGTCTTCAGCATCATGTTCTTAGATGGGAAATTATTGTATGTTGTTTTCCGTTGAGTTTACTAATGAGGTCTTGTGGATGTTTACTGTCAGTTTGCTGTCTCCACAATTCCCTGTATTCTCCTTGATATGTAGTTTGATTTTTGGCTGTGTCAATGAATGAGTGTGAGGAATCTCTTCTGTGATCCATTCTTTGCAAGTCTGACTACATAAACTGAGAATGTTGAAAGCTACAGCAGCAGAGTAGTCTGCTTGCCAAACACGACACTGGTAGAGGTTCAGATAAACACGATAACAGGTGATTAGACAAACAAAAATTCAAACAGACTACGAAAGACAGAGGCAGACACACAAACAAACAGAATGAATATTCAAAATAAAATTTATTTTACAAGAAAATCACAACTAACTTTGAATCCTGGTCTTTTAGCTGGATTTTGGTGCCAACATTTCTGAACAATTTCAATCAACATTTTTGGACAATGAGATGGAAGAGGAGGGCGCCTGTTTGCTTGTACACACTCCAATATCTAATCAAGTAATAGTTATCATATAAATACATTATTTCATGATTCGACAACTGTTTCTCTATGACAATAAAATTCTCGCAACTTACAATTACTAGAAGCAAAAATAAAGGTATCAAGTTGTTATCAAGCCAACCAAATCAAAAAATTCCTACTAAACTTAACCCTGTCACCTGAGAAGCTGCAAAATCAACACTTTTAGTCTGATCCAGTTCTCCGTAAATGTCACTTTTCTTAAAGTGAGGTATTTACAAAGTGCATAGTTAATGCTACTTGTTGAGTTCATCCTGTGCTGTGTTTAGGAGGTCAGGGTATGGACATAGTAACTTTTTTTTTCTTCTTCAAGTTCACCAGCTGTAAATTCTGGTCGAAATTTCTGGTTATTCGTCCACTTCTGGACACTAGGTCTGTTCCAGATACTGTATGTTTTGTGGATATCCTTTTCACAGTCATTTGCACGCAGACTGTTGATTCCTTGCCTCTCAGGCAGATGAATTCTGACTTTGAAGGAAGCTCCCAATTAGTTGACTCTTACAACATGCTTTAGGGCAGGCAGTGGGTCTATTCTTGTTTTCACTACAGTTAGGCCCTAGAACCCACACGGGAAAACATAGTTACTAAAAATAGCATGGGGGGGGGGGGGGGGTTTCCTTGTGAACCAAATGACTTTTGAAAGTCAAGTTGATATCATAAATTTTCCATAGTGATAGAGGTCATGACCTGAGTCACACACAACATTTGATAGTGATTTCCCATAAATTTCCCATAGTGATAGAGGTCCTGACCTGAGGCACACACAAAATTTGTTATAAGACCCCTGTATAGCAGCTGAACAAAACATTAGAATAGTTTTAAGGAACTTTTTGCTGGTTGGCATGGTAAACCAAACATTTTTAACCCTGCTAACAATTTTATACTTTTAAATTGGAAAAAAAAACACACACACAAAATTAAAGTTATTTGTATTACAATTCATCAAACATTTAAAAAGTAATTTCCAGCAGCATTTTAAAAATGTGAATTGCATGTCAGCAAAGATAAAAAAAATTTTTTTTTACATCTCCCCCCAACACCTAGCTGAGGTAAATGATGGAAGAGAAAAAGAAAAAGAAAAGAAGATGGCGAAGAACATCACCTGGAACAAAGTGAAATTGTCATATGGGTGTTGTCTGGTCAACATTTCCCAGAGCACCATGCCAAAACTGTAAACATCTGCTTTAGAAGTTATCTCTCCTGAAGTGAACAACTCTGGAGCCATCCAAGTGGGAGATTCTTTTCTGTGATGTAGTTTTACATCATCTTTAAATCTAAGATAGGAATAAGTATAATGAAACAATTACATAACTGTAGCCTGAATCAACATAAATGAATCTATATTCTACTATCTAGCCCAGTTTGCTTAAGGGCTTGTGGTATTTAAGCATACTGTATATTTCCCTAGATTTATTACAATAACTATACTTTATATTGTAATTGTTTCAAAATATAGCTATAATTAGAGCACATTCGAGGGTACATAATAAGGACATAGATGTTGTTGATGATATTTATTGTTATTTGTATACTGATGTATGAATAGAATAATGTATACAAGGAGTGGATGCCGGAGAGGTACAATGTGAGATGGTCCTGAGGCCAAATTGTGAACAAAGTTTCAAATAAAGTTATTTCAAAAATTTGTTCATGGTCCATATTTACCGCTAAGTATAGAATGAGTTGCTTCTCCCCCTTTTTTTTAAAATCCTGACCAAATATGTTGCCTGAACTTGAAGAATTGAGAACTGCTGATAAATTGATTGATCTTGGTGCTACAAAAGTTCTTAAGGAAGCATAAAATGTTAAACTGCACCACATACAAAGGACTTTGCAGTGATTAAATAATTGCAGCAATGTCCTTTGTTGGTCTGTTACGACTGAACCTGTAAAGCTAACATATAAACTATGTTATTCCAATCACCATATAAAGCATGTCAAAAGAGGTAACTAAAGAAAGGGTTGGAGTTTCTGGTTGGCTACTCCATCCTGTGAAGATGACATGCAGAAGACAAAGAAGGCCTCAGAGGTATACTACCTAGAGCTGTGCCTGTGATAAATCTTCTTCTTATTCTTCACCGGCTATAAACTCCGGCGGAAAGTTCTGATTGTTTGCCCACTTCTGGACTCTAGTCCTGTTCCAGAACCTGAGTGTTGCGTGCACATCAAAATTACAATTCTGACTCATCTGTATGCAGACTGTTGGTGCCCCACCTCTCAGGCAGATGCATTCTGACTTCCAAGGAAGCTGCCAATTAGTCGACTCTTACAACAATGCTTTTTGGTAGGCAGTGGGTCTATTCTTGTTTTCACCCATAATAGGGCCCCAGAACGCACACAGGGAATGACAAAACATGATGTGATTGCTGTTATAACATGGGAACAATGCAACAGACAATCTTCTAGAAATATCCTCTGTTCCTAGATCTTTCTTCACCATGTCAACACAAGGCATGTTCTAGGCTTCATAAGCATCTTCTTCTTCACTTCGTCTCTACTCTTGGGTACTGACGGAAGTATAAGGTTCTGCTTCTCGCTCCTCTGGCCATCTTGAACAAAGATAGACCATTCTATTTTTCCATTTGGTTCTTGGTCTACCTCATTCTCTACATACCTACACTCTTTAGGTGTATGCCTTGTATGTTATGGTACTGCAGTACATTATTAGCAAAGAAACCATTATATTTGGTATTTTTTGTATATTCTTAAGTACTGATTCTATGCCCACTTTTTCTCTTATGACCCCATTCCTGATCTGACCTTTTCTGTCACTCATGCAAACATTTGTATGGAACTTTTACATATTATATTTTTTCAAATATTTTATTGCTTTGCCATTCAGCATGTTATTATTATTATTAATGACCTACACAAGGCTTAGGCACCCCTCCCCCCCCTCCCCCAGGAAATTTGTAAGAGGGCTGAGCCTTTTCAACGTTTTCCTTGTGCTGTTGCTCTGCCATGGAAGTCACAAGCTTCTCTCCCACTCCATGATGGAGACACATCAGAGGAGGTCTATATAACATCAGTTTAATTATCACAAAATCAGCACACTACATAATAACAGTACCTAATTTTTGTGAATCCAAAGTCAGCCACTTTTGCTCGCGCTCCATGTCCTAAGAGAATATTTGTGGGTTTTAGATCAAGATGGAGAACTGGTGGCTGATGGTTGTGAAGATACAGCATGCCGGCACTTGCATCCTGGGTAATTTGATAGAACTCTTCTCGGTTTAAATCAGTTCTGAAGCAAGCAACAAATAATTTTTAAGATTATTAAAGACGATAACTAGAAAACATTTGAAATGTAAGAAAACAGTGTAAAGGAAGCAAAAAAAAAAAAAAAAAAAAAAGAAAACACAGGCTAAAGATATATATGTAGCCTATGTGGGTACTTTATAGAAGACCCAGGTTCAAATCCTTGCCAAAATTATGGGATTTTTTTGGAGTGAGTGTCAAAAAGAAAATCTTAACCTGCACTAGCCACACAGACCTTAATCCTTAGACTCAAAAACTGGAAAAAGTGGCCCTTGGCAAGATGAAAAAGATACCAATAGAAAATGTCAGGTGCAGGGAGGAAAGACAAAGAGTGTTAAAATGCTGTATAGAGCATGCATTGTTATATCCATGTGATAAATGAACAATAAACATACAGCAATAAGCTGAAACACATTGTAACATCAGAGAGAAACATGTGGTAAAACAGGTAATAATGACAGTTTTTGTGCATGACTTCATAGGAAAGAATTGATTCATTCCTTCCATTATTTTGAGTGCAAAATAGAAAAAAAAAAACTATAAAAAAGTGCAAAGAAAAATGATTTATGCACATAGGAGAAGAACAATAAATTCTTTCTATCTCAAGAATCGCAACATGCGTGTTAAGCTGTTCATCTTGCATCTCAATCAACATGTCATGTTTGGTTGTACTTTTTATGTTTAGTCAGTCCATGCTACAGAAATCTGTCCAAGCATAATTTGTTTTACACAGTGTGTATATTTCACTATCGTGTGCCATGTTGTGTAGGCTGGAATATTTCTCCATCTCACATGATCACTAGAATAATGGATCAGATCAGTGTTCTTTACTTTACACTTTAAGGACAATTTCTGCTAAGGGTCTACCTTTATCTATATTTTAACTACCTATTTTCTTAACTTTTCTACTTCTTTTGCATTTATCTTCACAAAGGCAACTGGCACTTTGTGTTGGGGTTTACAGCGATATGATATCTTCTTCTTTCAATCCAACACATTCAATTTCAGTAATTCTATAATTAGTTGCCCTGTATAACATGACTGTCGAAAGGCAGATGATCTATTCCCCTATCTCTCTCTCTCTCACTCACTAACTCACTCTCTCTCTCTTCACACACACGCATGCATGTGCACCCAAGCGCATACCCCACTATGCAGAAGAATGAACAGATAATTACAGTCTGCAGAAACAAACTGTTCAGTGAGGGATGACCAAGAAATCTGGCCAACACTACACTAAGAGAAAAGACAAGACAGACATATAATCAAGCTGCTACTGGTACCAGCTTCGCTGACCTTGAAGATGGGGGTCACAGCAGTTCGGTTTGATGCTAAAATGCTACTAACCTGCCAGGGCCATGTAACCTTGTGTGCAAGTTCCCACAGGCCACAAATTCCATGACAATCAGGGGAAATTTCTCCCGTCTGCTACACACACCCAACAACATGGCTACATTAGGATGTTTCAGCTCCTGCAAAATGGAAATCTGGAGAAAAAAATGAAACTTTACAAAAGCCTCTTACATTTTCAACATCTTAAATTTTAAGAGTCTGAAGACTGGTATTCGAAGACTGTAAATGTTACTCACTTTTTCATATAGTTTTTGATAAATTGTTTCAATATGTTCGTTATTTCTTAGAGTTAGTGAATGCATTTAACAATTTCATGATCCCCGAGTACTAGGATTTTATTCCTGCAGTGAAGGATTTATTTTTATTTAATACTTGAAATCATTCTTATACTTTTTGGGTGGCAGTATGAGAGTCACATTGTGGAAGAGACGGGCCTGACAGCAGAGAGCATACTGAAGTCAACCTTTATTGTGCAGATGGAACCACACCAAAAATATAATAACACTGATATATGTTCTACACCAATTTTTGTAATCTGGCTTGATGGGGGCTGGAAGCTAGGATGACAGGACTGGCAGTCAAGTGTGCTAGTTACTACGCCACAGCTGTTACCATAAGTGAGATATAAATAGTATTTATTCTTTCCTTTTCCCAGTTTGGGTTCCAGAAACTTATGGGTGGGTTGAGGGGGGGGGGGGGAATTGGGGAATTGAGAAGAAAAGATTTACTTTCTTTCTTTCGTCCATATTCTGTTTTGTACTACTAGGCATCATAGGTTAACAGATAATCTGTATTTGAGCCAGGGCACACTCTCTGTTGCCTGGTATGCTGTGATATTTCAATGCATGAATGACTCCTTCAGTTCATTTTCCTCTTGGTCGTCCTCTACCTCACGGTGTTTCTACTTTTATGTTAAATGCTCTTGTTGCTGGCATCACTCGATTAGATTGCACTAGATCCACTGTCACGCCCCCCCCCCCCCCCCCCCCCTCAAAAAAAAAAAATAAAGGTGTATTGCAAAAAAAAGTAAACAGGGGTTTACTGAAATCAGATGAATATCTTTCTTCTTCTTCTTCTATTCCACCTTGTACCTTAGTGAAGTGTCCAGGAGGGAGAGGGAAATGTAACATTCATTGATGAGCTCTGTTAAGAGCACTATTAAGACTGATGTTCATTTCTGTAAGGCTGTTCTTAATGCCATCACTCCATATTTTCCAAGGTCTTCTACTCGCTCTATACCCGTTGTAACGTTTTAGTGTGGCTGGCTGTGGCAGATAGTACCAGGGCATTCTTGTTAGGTGTCAAAACCACTTCATTTGTTGTTCTTTGATGACTTGTAAGACTGGCTTTATTCCTACCCTTCGTCTAATGTATATCTTTGAAAGGCGCTAATATCATAACCTAGCTGTATACCATAAAACAATGCGCCAATAACATTTTTAAGTGCAAACACAGAAAAAGAATTTTATTTTCTTTAGATAAGTTCTCTAAAAGTTTGTTCGGGTTTATATTTTTTCTAAAAGTTCATGTCACACCACAAACAGATTTTACATTTTTTTTTCTTTAAATGCTGAGGATTACAAGTAGTGGATTGCTCACACTAGTGGGAAAGGCACTTGATGATGATGATGATAAAATATAACAAAGCACTCTTCTACTTTTGATGGACATTTTTGTTTCATTCTAATGGGCAATTAAAAACATACCCACTTACTTCTGAAATAAAATAACTGAGATCTCTTGTCTGCAGTGGAACTTGTATTCTTTTCACAGCAACCTCTGAGCCCTGATATGTGCCTTTGAACACTTGTGAAAAAGCACCACTGCCAAGGAGGTCTACAAAGAATCCAAAACAAATATCAACAGAGCATTGCAACGTATCTCTAAACAATTATTTACACAAATTATTTGACACTGATAATAAAAACAAAACATTTTGGAAATGAGTTATTACAGACTCAGCAGGCAACAATATTCAACAATTGTCCGTCTAAGAAAAGAACATTGCAGGCTCAGCTACCACCTGCATAAAATAAAGACTGTACAGTCATCACAGTGTGCATGTCAGATGGGACCACAAACGCCTGAGCATATTCTGAAGGCCTGCCCACTCTGCCTAAAATGATGAAGAGAAACCGGGACTCAAAAGCAAAGTGTGCAGAACAAGCTTTACGGAACAAGGAGGGACCTGCAACTGACATGCGAGTTGATAGAGGCAGCCCATCTGACCTGAGCATATGAAACCAAATGCAAAGAAGAAGGAGAAGAAGAAGGAGGAGAAGCAGGTGGAGGAGGAGAAGAAGGAAGAGGAGGAGGAGGAGGAGCAGGAGGAGGAGGAGCAGGAGAAGGAGGAGGAGGAGGAGCAGGAGGAGGAGGAGAAGAAGAAGGAGAAGAAGAAAGAGCAGGAGGAGGAGGAGAAGAAGAAGAAGAAGAAGAAGATATCTTATTTAATGTTAATTCTCCAGGCAAGCTAATCTAGGCAACAAATGCCTGAAAGATGCAAAGGCCAAAAGATGCAAATATCACAGAAATGATGCAAATGGGCACAAACACAATTATGTCAGAAGAAAAAGTATATTTATGATAATTTACTTGTACCCATTGTAAAGTTTATGCTTGAAACTTTCATGCCTTTCTTTCTTCCTTTCTTTCAAGCCATATGCTGGCTAGCTTATAATCTCTCTATAATAACCTTTTTTCTTTCTTTCTTTCTTTCTTTCTTTCTTTCTTTCTTTCTTTCTTTCTTTCTTTCTTTCTTTCTTTCTTTCTTTCTTTCTTTCTTTCTTTCTTTCTTTCTTTCTTTCTTTCTTTCTTTCTTTCTTTCTTTCTTTCTTTCTTTCTTTCTTTCTTTCTTTCTTTCTTTCTTTCTTTCTTTCTTTCTTTCTTTCTTTCTTTCTTTCTTTCTTTCTTTCTTTCTTTCTTTCAAGCCATATGCTGGCTAGCTTAAAATCTCTGTATAATAACCTTCATTCTCTATTTACTGTACTATTTCCAGACTTGCCTTTTTCAGAAAACACAATGTCATTTCTGTTCAGCTCCACTTTCTTGATGCTGTCAAAGATGTAATTATGACTGGAACCAGGTCCCTTGAATCTGTGAATGTGAAAGCTAATTTAAATCAAACTAATCCAGCTAGTAGAATCATCAAATGTTATGTATACCCAACCCTGCTGTATAGTGCAGAAACTTGGACAATGACCAAGCAAGCAGAAAACTGAACTGAGTCTCTGGAAAAGGACGATTATGTAATTTTTTTATGGGGAAAAACAACAATCTAATTTAAAGGCTCTAGAGAGAGGCTGCGAATTAAAACAGAGTAGCTGAAATAAATAAAAAAAGAGACAAATGAAATATTTGGGCAACTTTAAAAGACATAACTTTTAAAAACAATACTGGAAGGAAATGTTGAAGACAAGACAGCAAGAGGTAGACAATGATATAAGTGGCAGAACAGCATCAAGAGTTGGACAAAGAGCAGTCTAAGAGACTGTACAACCAAGACAAGAGACAGAATGTACTGGAGGTTCACTACAGTCAACCTTCATTGTGAAGATGGCACCTGATTCAGAGCCAGTAAGTAAGCCAAAGTAAAGGGCCCTTTCCTGCCATTGACACTTCAGGCATATGGTGCTACCCCTAGATTTTTAAAGATCTATCGGCAGCTGCTGGGTAATGTGGTCACATACGTTTACTAAACTTTCTTCCTAGGTCACTTTCTGGCATCCCTTTAAATCAGTCCAGGTCAATTATTTAAATAAAATATGCCTCGATGACGATTCTTCTTCTTCTTTTTCTTCTTTGCATTTGCCGGCTGTAAACTCTAGGAAAAGTTATGGTGTTTCATCCACTTCTGGACTTTAGTCTTGCTCTAGAGCTTGGGGTTTGCGTGCATTTTACAGAGCTGGCTTATTTGTGTGCAGACTATTGGTTTCTTGCCTCTCACAGGCAAAATGCACTCCCACTTTTAAGGGAACTAATTAGTCGACTCTTACAAGATGCTTATTATTGAGGCAGTGAGTCAACTCTAGTTTTTTTCCTCCACAGTGGAACTTGAGTTTTGTGTGCACATCCATTTTACAGATGTTTTATTGGTTTGCAGACTGTTGGTTCTACATCTCTCAGGCAAAGCATGGTGCTTTATTAATATCTTACCCCAAACAGGGAAAATCCACAGGTCACAGGACAGTCTAATATTTCAGGGGGTGGTAGATAGGCTGCATGCAGTCGTGGAACCTAGGCTGCATGCAGTCGTGGGACCTAGGCAGCACTCTCTCATGGGATGTATGTGGGTTGGGGTTAGGGCCAGTTCTAGATGTTTTCGGGTCATTGAAAGCATCAGAAAGCCGGGAAACCCAGTCTTACCACCCTCTTAAATGTTGGACTGTCCTGTGACGTCATCTGGGGTAGGATATTAATAAAGCACCCAAAGCACTCCAATTTTGAAGGAAACACCTTTAATCAGTCACCTTCCTTGATATGCTTGTTAGGGGACAGTGAGTCTATTCATTGCTCTTCAAAAGAGAGCCCCCAAAACCCACACAGGGAAGCACTTAAGTAAAATATATTTATATTTGAAATGCAACTCACTTCTCGGGCTGCTGGTTTTCTTGCCTTCTCGGCTGACCTTTGTTTCTCAGCGATGCATGTCGTGATCTCTTTGACTTCAGCAGACAAGTTTCTGCCACCATTACTGTTACTGGTTGTTCTACTATTGAGTCTTTCTGAATTTCCGTTGCATCATCAATATCATCTTTAACCATGCCAGAAATCTGGTTCTCATCACTGTTCTCTCTAGTCAGGTAGTTAACCTGTTTTTGGCTATTAAACTGATCTCTGCCAGGGAGTTTGTGTCTGAACTGGAGGTCTTTGTATTGACCTCTAGAGCTTTTAACGTTCTGAGACTGTTTATCACCACCAGGGTATGCTTTTTCTGAGGCTGACCCATCTTCATCATCATTAACAATACTCTGTCTCATCCTGTCTTGCTGCCATTTTCTTTCTTGTACATTTCTTTTCTTTGTTGATGACGGAAACATTGATTCATGATCTGAATAGCGATTATTATGCTTATTCAGCCCTACAGAATGTAGGTACCTCAGTGGCTCTGCATTGTTCTGTTCTAAAAAAGACTTCTGCGATCTTCTGAAAGTAGATTCCACAGACTGTTTTTTAGAAAAATTTAGATCAGCTTGAACTTTGCACGCTGTAAACAATTCTTGTTCTGTATCATCTTGTTCATTTTTATCTTTTCCAGCTGAATCTATGCTAGACTCCACATCTTTTCCAGCTGAATCTATGTTAGACTCCACATCTTTTCCAGCTGAATCTATGTTAGACTCCACATCTTGCAGCTGCAGACAGAGGAGAAAAGTGAATTGCTTGATTCTTTTAAAGTTGGTATTTGTTTTGTTTCTGGTGCAAACAAATTAATGGATATAAGAGTTTGTCCATGCTTGGTACAGAAAGTGAAAACATGTGACGGTTCACTTATGTTTGGTAGAGAAAGTTAAAGGGTGTGATGGTTTTCCAAATTTTATCAAGAGAATTAAAGAATGTAAGGAGTTTGTCATGTCTGATGTAGAAAGAGTCTTTATGCATGACTAGTAGAGGATTGACATTTTCATCTGACTGTGAATGTACTTTAAATGTGTCAAGTCAGAATGCTACTGGCACCATTAGTATCGGGAACTCCTCGCTGGCTGCTGAAAATGGGGACGGAGCGCTTATGGGAATGCCTCGAGTGCTGTGATGTTGGTTCTTGAATCAAATCAAATCAAATCAAATCAAATAAATTCAGAATAGTTTTGTGTGTACACAGGATGGTTCGTCAACTAAACTTCATCTAAGGCAGAAAAAGATAAACTTCTTCTAAGGCTGACCTGTGACCAATATTTAAATGTCTACTGAAACTAGACGATTGCCGTCTCTGGATACATTCTGACGCAATATCTTCTTTCATCTGACAGCAGAAAATGAAAACAAAAGATTACTATAAAAGGTTTTATGGAAAACATAATTTTGTTTGATGTCATAAAGAAGGTTTAAATCACAGAGGGAAAAAATGGAACTGAAAACCAAAATGAAATAAGAAGTATTAATTAGGCAAAGCAATCTGAACACCTTTAATTCAGGAGACCCAGATAAGAATCCTCAGCATGGTTAACTGTTTTCTTTTATTCTTCTTCTTCTGCTTTCTATCCCCCAAAGTAGCATAGGCCCTCAACCTACTCACGCCATACAGCTCACCCCCGTCTTTGTAACTTTACTCTCTAGCTCCCTTCTACACTTCTAGATGCTGATCCATCGAATAAACATAAATAAACATAAAACCACCTACCAACCTTATATCGGCCTGAAAGTTGGTTGTTGTTTTGAGTTGTTCTGAAGAAAATGTGCTAGTCAACAGGATAAAACATTGTAATGCAGTTTGTTCTGATTTTCATCTGCTAGTAATGTGGATGCATTATCAAAAGCTAACCTATGTAAAATTAACACCTGTGAAATGAGATGCCTGAGAAAAGCCGCCAACTTAACCATCCGAAACAAAATTAGTAATGATATCAGATAGACTGTAGGAACAACAGCAAATTCATTGAGAAACAGAAGATAAATGGTTTGGACATTTAGCAAGAATGCAGCCAGAACAGCTATCAACTCAGACGTTACTCATGAAAAGATCTGAAGTGAAAGCATAAGTCCACCCTAGGAGAACATGAATTGATCAGATTAAAGAGCTTCTACATCAACACGGAATGACAATAGCCATTGCTGTCTATCAAGCGATGGATCGCAAACTGTTCCTCCCACAACGCTTAACGGCAGAAGTGGAAAGCGACCATGGTTATGAGTAATGTGGAATGGTTTGATCATTATAGAAGAGTCGCTGGTTGAACAATTAGGAATGCAGGGCGCACCTATGGGGAGACCCAGGTTTGAATGCTCGGGACGGCTGGGGATTTTTTTATCTTTAGGGAGCAAAATTGAAAAATCCTAACTTACACAGTATCTAGCGACAGTACTAGCCATGCGGCTCCAGATCCTCAGGCTTAAAGATCCTCCTGCCTATACCACAAAAAGGGGTGAACAGAGGTAGTTATGGCAGTTTTGAGTATTATAATGGTAAATTATCCATCAGCATTAACTGAATTTACAAGTCTGCAATATGATGAGAAGTTACTGATATACAAGCTAAGGGTGTAAGAAAGACAAAGAATGAGCCCAAACAATTTATAAATGGGTGGTTGCTTATGCACACAGATCACCCAGTTCAACAAGCATGTGACTGGTTCCTTGAAAAGCAGGTCACCCAATGAAAAGCACATCCCTCCTTGAAAGTCTCATCACTCTGTGAAATGTACACTGCTCCCTGATATCCACACTGCTTCCTGATATACACACTGCTCCCTGATACTTCCTGAAAGCACACTGATCATTAAAAAAAAGCACATGGCTACCTGAAAAGCAGATTGCTCCTGAAAAGCACAGTACTCCCTGAACAGCACATCACTCTGTGAAAAGCACATCGCTCCATGAAAAGCACAATCTCCAGTGACAACCAATAGTATTATCCGAAAACACTGCACCATGAACCAAATGAGACTGACCAAAAATAAATTTACAAATGAATTTTCAGAGCATGAGACAAAGGAAACAGAATCCAGTGTCAAAACAGCTCACCTGTTTCTGTCTCATCTGGCTTCGTCCACCTGCTTCTTTCACACAAATAATTTTCTCTTTTACATGGAATTTCTGTGCAGCAACAGCTATTTCTGATAATGAAAAAAAAAAAAAAAAACAGGCCATTATATGATTACTTGCAAGATAAAACAAATGCGGAGAACAGTTACAACAACTACTGATAAAATGCAAACATTCAATAATTAGTGCCTGTGTAGTATAGAGGGAGTTAAATGGTTTGATAGAATCAATAATGTAGAACTTTGGGAGAGAAATAAAGAAATTTCAGTGAATCAAGAGGTTAAGAATAGATGCTGAAGTTGGATAGAACACGCGCTTAAGAAACCCGAGAACAATATAACTAGCATGTCTTTGCACTTTACCCCAAAGAGGCAAAGAAATAAAGGTAGACCCAAAAACACACACACAAATGGGAAGGAACCTAGAGAAAGAAATTAAAAAGAGAGGGAGGACATGGGGTGAGGTGCATGCAACAGCAAAGAATAGGGTAACTTGGCTTGAGTTGGTTGGTAGTGAGCACCCTCCCCCCCTCCCAAAATCATTAAGGGGGCTAACCCATCCACCACCTTTAAAAAAACATTGCAAGGGAGCTAAGTAATCCATCTAACAATGTACAGACAAGCTCTTTTCAATATCTGTATATATTTCAAATACATTATTATATTTATCTGCTATTCAGCACATAATGAAAAAAATAATATGTTATTCCATACTTAACTTTGGATTAAGCCCCTCGAGCCATCTCATCTCATTTTGATCCTCTGGTACCTTGCAGTGTCGAGCCCCCCCCCCCCCCCCCTAGAAAATTTAAAGGGGAATAAACTCGACTGCCCCAAAGATTTCTTTACTCATTCTTAATGTCCTTTTTAGGATGAAATTTTTCGTTATTTGAAGCCCTACTCTGACTCTTGCCAGGGGCCGCAATATAGCCAGCCATAAATATGGCCTAAAGGCTGAACGCGGTTCCTGGGACCTCTCCATAGAGATCCTCATCCACATGGTGGCACATTGTGTCATCGGGTGTTTATCACTTGTGTGATGTCCTGGTGGGGTAGAAAGTCAGTCAGTCAGTCAAAGATTTCTTGGTGGCACTTGCTGAATTTTGAGCATGTAAATGTTTATTCATCCTCAACAACAGTAGTAATTTTCACACAAAATCATATAAATAATATCCTGTTCAACCCTCAGGATAATATCTGAGACATGAGGCCCCTGTGTGGGTTCCTGGGGCTTCAGCATGGGAGGAAAAAAAAAAACTGACTCACTGCACCCTCTCTCCCCAAAACAAGAAAGTATAAAAGTTGACTAATTAGGAATGTTTCCTTCGAGGTCAGAGTGTATCTACCTTTGAGACAAGGACAGACAAGGAACCAATAGTCTGCATACAAACAAGCCAGATGAAGAAGAGAAAAAACCCTTAACAGTTTGTTAACGGTATGTGTACTAATTGCCTGCTGTACACTTGCCTCAGTGATTCTCCTAAATGCTAGTTTTCTTTTAAAGTTAATATTCCAGAAATCTCCAGCTTGTTTTTTTTCATAGTATGCCATGTTATTTTTCAAAAAGAGAATATGTAACTGCTATGTACTAATTCACTTTCTTCTTCTTTCTGTAATCTCTAGTGCAAAGTCCTGGTTACTCTGCAATCTGGACACTGGCTTCATGCCAGGACCGGAGTTTTGCACGTACATCTGTTTTACTGGCTTATTTGTGTGCAGTTGGTTATTCCTTGCTTCTTGGACAGCTTTACTCTTACTTTGAAGGAAGCCTCTGGTCAATCGACTTTTAAGACATGGTTGTTGGGGAAGCACTAGGTCGATTCTAGTATTCCCCGTAATGGAGCCCATAGCCCACACAGAGACCATTTAATCTTAACTCCCAAATAGATTACCTAAAATAGACACCAAAAAGAGATTATCTAAATAGATACCAGAAACAGATTATTTAAAATAAATACAAGAAAAAAGATTATTTGAAATAGGTACCAGAAACAGATTATTTGAAATAGGTACCAGAAACAGATTATTTGAAACTGATACCAGAAACAGTCAGTATGGTAACGATCCCATCAGCCATCAGGTGCTAACTGATCTATAAAATATGAGACACCATATCCCATATTTACCCACCATATCCCATACTTATCCTCCTTCCACAGTGTAAGTCATAAATATTGCTACATATTTAACTGCAAATTAATCACATTACATTATTATGGCTTTGAAAATTAGACAACTGGAATAGGAA